GGGGTGAAAATACTGCTAGTCTCTTTATGCTACAGAAACCAGAGATACTGTAAGTGCAGGCCTGATTGGCCACTTGGCTCATATGCAGACTTTACCTGCATGTTTAATATAATATAGAACATGATCTAGAAATAAATACCGGTACTCAAAGACTAATGAAATGTTTCACAGAATAAATTAATTATTATTAATATTAAAAACTGGATCACTGGATAATGCACTTCGAGAGTTCATTGGCTTAGCCATCATGGATTATGGCATGCTCTACAAATGTGGTAAGCATACACATGGTTTTTTGGGGCATCTTTACTTTTGTTTTAGTTAAGTTTTCTCTATTCTGGGGTGTTTTTAATAGAAAAATTATTCCGCTCGCATTTGCTGGATATGAGATGATTATAGCCAACTCAGTGCTACGCACATTGGCTATCTAACATCTCGTATCCAACACACGTTTGTTGAATAATTGTTCATGAAACATTTGTCAAAACAAGAATATAGCTGAAGACTGAATTTCTACGTACTTGAATGAACATCCAACATGAATGAATGAAAGTGAACTCTTTGTTTCTTTTCCACAGGAATTTCATCATAAAATAAATCCATCAACATTGTCTTGCCACAACCTTGAACAAATACAATTTATACGATATTAAACATTCAGCTGGGACATACTTTTCCCTAAGTGGGCCATATTCTATATGGAAATTGCTCTTGAGAGATACAATCATAGGGAGTGGGGGCGGGGGGTACAACTACTAAAAATACTTCCCACATGGGGACATCCTCCTGCTATAAGACACATTTCATAAGACTAGACAGTACTCTTCTGATAAGGGGGCATCACCTATGACTCTTCAAACACCTCCCATTTAAGGGTACTACCACCAACAGTACACCTTCCATGAGGGTAACAGGTCAAGGTCTCCTATGCCTAATGGGTACAGAGTTGCAACTAATTTTTAGGTAGCACTAGCCATTAGTATTCATTTGTTGATGTCTTATAAGTGATCATCTCCCAAAAAATATCATGAGTTTACTATCATGGGTGAGCAGTCCAAGTAGGAAGAAACTTAGAGGGAAGAAAAGAAGGAGTGAAGGAGAGAGGGATGGAAGACAAGATAAAAGGAGGAAGAGAGAATTACAAAGCTTATGAGGCAGAATGCACATTATTACCTACCTACACTGCCATGGAGATAAAGACCAACAGGGGCTTTTTGTTTACTATTGACTCTAAAAACCTACCAAACAAAATAAAAAATATCATGATGTACAGTTCATGGGTAATTTAAAAGGCCACTCTTAATTGAAAAATTGTCTTTGATATCGCTACGCTCTAACTGATTTGCGTGAGGGAAAAATCTCTTTAAGTTGAGATCAGCAGGCATCATTTAACTTCAGAATTTGAAAAAAGTACTATGCTCCTTACCTTACTAAAAAACCCAGAACTAGTTGGCTGATAGTTAACTGCATCATCATACAATCTTTGTAGATGCTCAACAATCTGCCGTTGATATTTGTCCAGTTTCAGCTTTCCGCTCCTGACTGTTTCATCATACTTTTTAAGAGGGCCTGCCTCATGGCTAACAGTATGTGAACTTTGGGTACCAAGGAAGTCATCTGAAAGTAGGTAATCCAGCATTGAGCAACAAGCTTATAGACCACAACCAATTAACCAGTAAAACAAGTCATAGTTAACTGTACATTTTCCATTGTTGTTCGAAAATGGTCATGCATTACTCCTTAACTAGACAATGAATTACTGATTACAGTGAAGCCATAACCTATTAATTCACAGCTACCACTCATAAGAATCAATTACGCCCAATTCCTCAAAGGCCAATACGATTATACTGATAACAAATAGCTACATAACTGCACAAGTGGAACCTCATCAATATGATGTTGACCATGTAACAATGGGTTTATGCCAGCTTCGCTACTTTTCAAGTTCGCTATGTTTGAGTTTGCTATGTTCAAGTTCGCTACATGTTCGCTACCCACAGGCCAAGTTCACTCCCTCACCTAACTGAGTTTGGCTCGGGAATGAATGAAAGAATGAGGAACAATCTGTATGTGCATGAAATCTTAGGTCTATATATTTTTGTTTCGTGAAGTTTTAGTTTTATCAATAGTAGCGAATGCGAATGAAATAGGTGGCAAACTGACAGTTGTGGGTAGTGAACTCGAACGTAGTAAATTCATCCACCAGCAAAATCGGCATGTTACCTGTCACAACAGTGGCTTCCCAGCACTACAGAACTTCCAAAGTAGATTTTGAAGAAAGAAAACTTATCAGGGTATGATATGATTCATACACAATTTGCCAAGTAACATACCAAATAAATCTTTTCATGTGAAAGAACTATATTTCCCGCAGTTCCCTGATATTTCCACTTCAACTGCCGAGCTAGAGTCTCAAGATTTCTGCAGATAATTCTCTGCACAAGAACAGCGTTTCTCAGTGCTACTTAGAACTGTATTTCCTTTTCTTGCATTTTTCAGGAACAAGATTCACTGTTTAATAATCAAAGTTTCAATTAAGTGCAACCTGTGACCTGTGACAGTTTACAGTCACTTCATTCCATGGTCACTTCGTTCCAACCACTTCGTTCCATCAAAGAGTCACTTTGTTCCACCAAATAGTCACTTCGTTCCAAAGAATAGTCACTTCGTTCCAGAGGCAAACTAAGTAATTAAACTTTTATTCTCAATAGATTTTTCTGAAAATTCGAAGTTAACGAATGCTTGGTCCGTTTTGAATCTTCGTTTACGAACGAGTTACTCCGCGGCACAGCTAATAAATGTGGCATCGACGTACCAAGACTTTGAACGGGCAAGGAACTTGAACTGCTGATCAGTGGCGAAAACTAGGTGTCTCCGACACCACACTCTGATGTCAGCATGCAGGAAATCTGATGGGATATGGTCTGCTGCAATTTCAAATTCCAAGTCCTGGGGATCTTTTTGGTCTGATGCAAAGATTAAAACACTTTCATTGGGATATTTCTCCTAGTTTACTTTTGTAAGTAAACTAGAAGTTTATATCAAATCGACATTCTATCCACTTTAGGTGTTTAGTAGCTTTGTAAGATTTGTAAGATTTGTAAGATTTCCCCTTGGAAGTAAGTGACTATTCTTTGGAACGAAGTGACTCTTTGATGGTACGAAGTGACTAACAGATGGAACAAAGTGACTTGGAACAAAGTGACCATGGAACAAAGTGACCATGGAACGAAGTGACCGGATACCCCTGTGACCTGTGACCTGTGACCTGTGACCTGTGACCTGTGACCTGTGGGGGATGATTAAGTTAGTTTAGTTAAGTTAGCCATCCATCAAAAGCTCATGATCACCACAGTTACTATCAAGCCAGGTCTTGGTAATAGCGACAACA